ACGCTCCGTCGTGGAACTTTGTTCGGTCGCCGGACTTCTTTATCGGGGCAAAAACCGTCCCAGGAAAATTATAACAATTCATTTCGACGCGGTGAAAATGTCGCGATCGTTAGTCTCGAACCAGAGCGACGGATACGGGATAGCGCAATTTATCATCCAGATAAAGGAGTCGCAATGGTACCCACGTCGACCGAGTTCGATAGCGCGCGAGCTGGAACCTGCGAAATTCGCCGACGACGCAGCCAGGCAATAAGATAAGATTTCGAAAAGTTCTGCGTTTCCCGGGGACGCTCGTACGGAAAGGAAACGTCCGACGAGGAAATCGCGCGAAGACGCAAACAATGCCACTCGCTCTTTTCAACTTTTCACTCGTTGTGCTGTGACAACGATTCCATAACCGGGTCAACGCCGTTCCGACCTAACAAAATAGCTCCAAGCTACATTACAGAATAGATTCGACGAAAGTTTTATGTGTTGGAGCATTGATTATCGAACGTTCGGAATCCTCATCCCCTAACGCCCGTAAAAAAAAATATGTTGGAGAATGTTAATGGAAACCATGCACGATTCGAGGGTTATTTACGGTATAGAAAAAATCCTGAAGATATTTGTTTGTCGTCCGAAGTATTTCGTCGAACGAATATTTTTTAAACGGCACTGCGGATCAACACTAGAACCGTAAATGGTACTGCGAACATTTTCAGCGAATCGGTGGCTGGATTTTAACCGTTTCGGTAACACGAAACTATCGACGAAATCTGCCGACCAAAGCTGTATTTTTGTTCGCGTTCCCCGGCGCTCCCGGGGCGACGCGAAATTTGAGCGTTTTTCACGCGCAATTTCCACCGAAATCGAAGAACGGACATAATTAATTTCTTCGTCGCGGGGTGAGAATTGCAATGACAACTGTTTTGCTTCAATTTGGCCGCCTCGTAATTGTTTCGCGGTTCCGAAATACCGACCGATCAGGAATTAATTTTCTCCCGTAATTCCGCAAATGCGCAGATTATTTATTTCGAATACAGTTGTTGATATTTGCATACCGTGCATTATCACGAGCCACGTTCGATGTTTCCGAACTCGTCGTGGCTCGAGATAGTTCGAATCGGAATACTCCTACGCGTTTCACGAAATTGTGTTTTCGAATACCAAGAAGGAGGTACACTTTTAACCATAAAGTCGAGGAAGAAGACGGAGTCTTGAGATTTAAAAATTGTCGCGAAGCTGCTGGTTTCCCGTCATCTCGAACAGCCGTGCAGTTATCCTCCCCGCCATGGGAATTATGCTCGTATTGTTTAGAATCATTTACCCGCGGCGGGCGTAAAGGTAACGGCACGCATAAAGTCGCGGGATTTCATGGCCGACATTAGCATAAACTTTACTGCCGCTTCGCCGTGGAAACATTGTATCGCGCGTTCCGCGATCCCGCGATGCGGATCGAACAGCTCGCGAATCCCAGGCGTTCGTTCGCGATAACGCTTGAAACTTCGCGGAAACTCATCCCGCGTCAGTCGAATGTAAATGAGACAAGCGCTCGTAATTAACACGCGGGGCCTGGCGAAATAATATTTCGTAATTAATTGCAATTAGAGTCAAAACGTTCGGCGCAAATTCGGCGGTAAATTAAACCGAACAGCCGCCGCGCTCGCGCTTCATCGTTCCCATAGAACGCCGGATTTAATGAGACGGAAGAATTGACGCGATCCGTTCGAGTAATTCACGCGATAAAAATAACGATCAGAAATCGTTACTGTCAATCGACGAAAAAATCGCTTCTCTGTCGGAGAAGTTATGCTAGAACGTCCATTATCCAATAGCGAACCTATTAGTATTCGTCTGCTTGTAATTTATTTAGCTTGGAGGAAAGGGACGCGATAAATATGCAAGCAATTTTCGCTATGGAAATTGTTTTCGGTTATGATACGGAGGCGTTAAGAACGTACTAATGGTACGAGAAGGAAACTCGACTGTTCGAGAAAACTTGGTACTCTCGGAGGAGTCGTTGATAGCCGGAGGGCGTGTAGAGTTTAATTCCCACGATTTTCGACGCATTAATATCCTACCCACGGTATTCCTAAGGAAAATCTGCATTTTTTTCGCTAATTTTTGCGATTGAAACGTAAACGGTGGTAAATGTTTCGTCGCGAACGATTCCATATTCGAATTATCTTTTCGATTGGGTCCGAGTATGGTCAGGTATTCGAATCGGAGTAATTAATCGCGCGAGTTAATTTAGTTTGCTTATTTGGAAAAGAGTGAGCTAGTCAGTGTCGAAGTAGCGGGAAGCATAGTTGTTTAGTTCCTCATTCGAGCGTTCCAATCAAGAATTTTCGATCGATAATCCAATCGCGTAACCCAAACCCCCGACGAGGCTGGCTGGAACGCTGGTGACCCGTCAGAACTCTCGTCAAAAACGGCCACGGTTTGCGCTAGAAAGCCCCGAACAGTGTTGTAGGTACGAGAGATATTTGTGCGTCGTGGATCGTATGGCTGACTATGAATGACAAGTGGTTGGTACAGAGCGGACGGGATCGAGCAAATGTTTTGATTAGAGTATCGATTGCGAGAGTAACGTAAATGGAAATGGATTCTCAGGATTCATGTGATTTTCGGCGCAAGGGAACGAACTGGTCAATCTTGAAACGAGATTTAAATGGAGATCGGAGTAAATAAATTCTGTCAAAGAGATATGACGGGAATTTCACATTTTGAGAAATTAAGTACCAACAATTTGAGTGAAACAGATACACGCGTTTACTCCTAACCATAAAGAGAAATCTGATTTTTCACAAGATGCTTACAAGACAAAGAAGAAAATATGAAAAGAATTGCTAAAGTGAAAAGAGACACTTATGACGGCTTAGCATGCTACAGTGAGTTTTCTTTTATGAAACGAAGAAAGTAACTGTGCAATCTTCCACAAAGACATACTCCTGACAAAGTGAACAATCCAGCAGCTTCCTCGGCATTAGACATTCTCGCATTCTCGAACAAATTTTATAGGGTTGCAATATTATTCTGGTATTCGAATTGCGTGGATAACGTAGGAAAATTGAATTAACGCTATTACAATGTTCACGAAACCTTCACAAGTTTGTCCGAGGCAAGAATTTAGGAAACACGATATTGTGAAATGCATTAATGATCAAAATTCGCCCCGGACCGTTGGGGGTTTGGGTCCCCCGTTTTCGAGGCTCGAACAACTTTCTTCCAGGTGAATTCGTCTGGCTGGATTCCCTATGGCGTTCTCGTAACAATGAAAAAGGGTCATCGACTTTGTGTGCTCGCGGGGGAGCGTTCGTCGCGATCCGGCGTCGCGTCCGTTGGAAGTTTCGCGGCGCAGGATCGAGCGGTTCCTAGACAAGCGTTTAATTTACCGGAGCAAATTCGGATCGCGAGCAGAGACCGCCGCGGGCGTGTATAGCGTCGAACGAAATTGCCAAAGTTGTTCGTCCAGAACGACAATGGCGTAAACGAGGTGTAAAGCCGGGGTACGAGGCGTCGTCCCGCGACGACGGCTGGTAGACGCGTACGATTTTCGTGCGCGATCCGTCGCGAGACGCGTAATTAGTAGACGAGAATCGATATTAACGGGGCTAGCCGTGTACACGACGGCCGTCGTGTTGCGTTTCACGGTGGCAAGAAAAATGCTTTTCCATCCCCGTGTATCATTTCCGAGGCAGAGCCACGAGCAACCGACTTATGAATAATGCATACGATAAATTCGCGTCGCACGCACGCATGCACGCCGCTAATTCCATTAGTTGTACCATTTTGCCGCTCGATAGCTACGACATTTTCGATCGAGTAACTCCTCCCGGCAATCTGTCGGGATCAACGAGTGTTTCCGAGCGAATTAATACCAGCGATCGTTCCCTGACTTCGTCCTTGTGCTTTTATCGTGAAAGGATTATTGGTACTGGGTCAGCTTTTTCCGAAGTTCGATGTCCACGAGAGTGGGGTACCTTCAGCGAACACAGCATGGAGAGCAAGGATTCTTTCGCACGGTCAACCTTACGAGCGACGAGCAACTTCCAGCACGATGGCTCTTCGGCCTGCTCGTGCGAAAGAAAGCTTATTCTCGATGGAAACTCTCAACAGTAAAACTCTGAAGTGGACACTGGATAGAAAAGAACAAGTAATTTTGCGGGGGAAAAAAACCTTTCGTGCGAAGCGTGGTTCGCGTGGTGCTGTAGTCGGCCTTTGCGTGGTAAATTCGCTTCGCGATGTCCACATTCTACTTTCTTGTGGCCCCACGTTCCCCTTAATACAAGGCAATTCTTTCTTTATCCCTGGAATGGAACGTTTCGCCTAATAGACTCGAACGAAGGTCTTTATTCGTGGAATATCAGATCTGCTATTGAGTGAAAATTACTGTAATTTGTCGACGTTTCGTTTAATCACCAAACTATACAAAGTTTGACGTGGCCACGCAATTGCTTAGACGACTGTTCTATTGTAGAACGATTCGTCGTATATCTCAGTGTCTAGATTATTGAGTTTAATGATCTCCTTTCGCCTGAAGTCCGAGCCATACCCGAAGTGCTCCAGAGTTCGTATCTGGGTCATCTATTACGCTATTCCACACTATTTATTAATGATATATCTACCCTTGCAGCGGAGACGTATTAGTTACGAACGATTAGAAATTATTCAACACAGCGAACTATGGAGGTGGCGCGAGACTCGATGGGATTTTGAAAATTTAAATTCTTGCATCTACGATATTCTATAAATTTTATTAATAAGCCCTCTGTATGTACGTTGTGTGTCGCGTTTCGAAGCGATATGAATAAATAAGCGTCCGGAAGAAGAGACTCGTGTCACGTTGACCACGACGGCGTAATAAAATGGCGGTATTTTGGTCCTCGAATAGTCCGTTTACGCCCAGCGAAAGCCGCGTTTTCGGTGGCGCTTAACAGGCGTTCGAAATTAGCGAGATCGAGCGGATTATTTCGGGGGAAACGGTTATCGTCGGAATGCTCAAGACTGATAATTACCTTCCGTGCACATGAAGAGAATGGCAGCAATGGACAGCCTCGCTTGCCACCTCAAAGCCATGTCCGCAAATGTTTGATGGCGCGTTCACTTTGGTACCGAAGCGATTCACATCCTCTTCATCGGATGACAACGCACCGTCCACTCACTGACATGTACCAGCACAACGCGGGTGATATATCCTTTATCGCGGCCGCGTTGTCATCGCGCGAGACCGGAAATCACTGTTCACCGACGACCACGAGATCCGACGACCCGAGGCTCGTCCGCGATTAGTCGGATCAGAGTTCGCGCGTCGCCTCGAACGCGTCGTCAGGCCGTCTATTGTCACCTGGATCTTCCATAGGCGGCTATCCTTTATCCACGGTCCAAGCGGGTAAAAAAGTCTACCACGAACGATTCTATGCGTAATCGAGTCTCACGCGGGGGAGTTTCGTGTCGACGGTCGCGACGATCGGGTCATCCGGACGCCCAACAGATTCGTTGAACTCCTACGACCCCCGCGGAGCGTTGATCCGTCCTGGACACTTATCGAATCTCGATCGGCCAGTTTCTGCGCAAAGATAATTCCGTGGTCACCAACAGTGTCACTGACCCCCTTTACGTGTCGCGACTCGTGCAAACTTCTCGGGGGCCCGGTCGAGGGGCGACACGGTTTCACGTGTCCACGGCGCGGTTCTCTCTATGGAAATTCCCCGTGGAGGAGAAACTTGGTCGGCGCACGGTTCACACTGTTCACGCTGTTCGGCGTTCAGGGAAACGTTCCGTACTCGGTGGTCGCGCGGACACACGTCATTTCCAAACGTTACTCGATTCGCGATTATTTTTTTTTTTTTTAACGGGAACCTCGCGTCTGTGTACGCGACATATCGTATATAGGACGACGGGACACGCACCACGTCTCGATTCGGTGGCAGATTTACCCTGACTGGGGAGATTCTCGGCCGTGGGAGCATGCGCGCTTCCGAACCACCTCCTGGTGATGGTGGAAACGCGCAGAGGGTCCACGAACAGGGTCCGCGCACACGTAAGGTCCACCCGCACACCGAAACCCGGACGCACGTACGACGTCACCGACGCCACCGGGGCTCACCCACACCCCGCGACTCTCGGACGTAGGTGTAGCCTTAAGGGTGGCCCGCGACGTACGGGCGCTGTGTGTCACGGGCAGAAAGTGTGGCAGGCCGTGCAAGGAGTACGGGATCGAGCCGCGAGATCTACGATACTCTTTGGAGCCCGGTTCTCGCGATGGGACCGCAGATTTAGCCGCGTGTTCATTTCGCGCGTCACCGTGATCGCCGATCTACCCCCGACGAGACGTGGATCGCGCGATAGCCGAGGATATGCGAGCGGGTAACCACCCTGCGTGCTGATTTCGGAACCCCCGGGATCTACGGGATCTCTCGTTGTCGGCCCGGGACGTAACTCGACTCACGGTGACGCGTAAAAATCATTGGGGTTGCTTCTTCGCGCGGTAGGGTGTAGCAGAAAATCGATCGATCATTTTCCAACCCCCGATAAAGCGTTGAGCAGAATTTCACTCCCCGTGTAACTAATAAAAATTTCAGACGCGATCGTAAACCAACTTCCGTCCGCGATTCTGATATCGATTTCATAAATTAATGGCCTCCAATTTACGAAGGGATGGGAAAAAATTTTATCCGTAACGCTCGAGTCACATTTGCTGTAGTATGCGTGTAAATTCCGAGGAAACGGCTCGTATACGCGCTCTGCTACCGGTGTACTGTTTATGCTAATGCGCTTTGTATACGATAATGCTACAATAATAAGGAAAGCTAGGTAATTGCTGGGTCGGTCGTTATCGGGATAGCAGCCTGACAAGTGCATGTTTCGCGCGGTCGTTCCGTTTTTTCCACGTTTTTTTTTTCTTCTTCCACGAGGCACACGCATGACGGAGACGTTGGAGCACACGGCTCGGATTCTTGAAGGTTGTCGCGTGATCTTTTAGCGGCGGTTGCGCAGAACGAGCCGCTTTGAAGACCTCGTACGAAGCTATTCAACGTCGAGTCGCATTACGCTTCACGCCTTTTGTCTTTAAACATCGTTTATGAATAGTACCGAGACACTGGTTTAGCTTGGTACCCACGAAAACCTCGTCTTTCAGTACTTTCAACGTCGAGCTTTAAATAACGGCCCCCCTCCGTGATCCCTCCGTGGATCCTGCTGTTTTTGGAAACGTCGGAGCGATTAACGCGTTTAAGTAACGCGAGAAACGCCCTTATTCGGACTTTGGATCTCAACGCTGGCCCGCCATTCTTTTCGCTCGCGTAAATCTGTTGCGACGATCGTCGAGCACGCTATTAATGCACGCTGTTAGATGAACCAGATGAAAGCGGACACGCGAGTTACGCCGGGCGTTACACGCGACACTGCCGGTTGCTGGTGATTAGCTCGGCTCGATCATCGCGCGAAAGTAATTTCATGGGATTGCGTTACATACGCGGACACTCCACTTTGTTCGTTTCGTTTGCCGATTGGATCGTGCCGTGTTTGTACCGTGGATATTAAAATATGCCGAGGAAACCCCATGTCGGCGATAACAAACTCCAGTAATTATACTCCGCACTCTACTCACGACCATTACCATCAACAGAGTCCTTGCACATATTTTCATAATAGGAAACGTGGAATAAAAATGACGGTCCTTTCGTGGATACCGTTAACGGATAATTTAGAAATTAAATAACATCGGTAGTTGTTTTTTTTTGCAAAGGGCGTATGGAAGTTTGCGAGTAACGCGTTGTGGAATTGAAATGGAAATTCTCGAAACGAAGAGGGCGAATGGTTCTGTAATGCGACCAATGAAACGCGAGGGGCCATTATGCGCGACAGGTTGAAAAATCCGCTCGTAATTTTAATTCTCGTCGCGCGTCACGTGCGATCAGATACCATTAGACGCGCTCATGGCGTCGTGGAACGTTAGCGTATGCGCCACCCGAGACGGATGTGCATGCAAAATATGTAAAGAAGGTATGATATTTTGACGACACCCCGGGAAACAAATGACGTCGGCTGCGGTCGTATTACGTGCGCCTCGAGCTTAACAACTATCTAGGAAAGTTTGATGAAATCTACTTTATAACCCCTCGCTTTGTGAAATATTTCCAGGGAAATTTCGCGCACGTGTGACACTGATGTAATAACTTCTGCTTTTCGCGCAATGAATACACGTTACACGTTCGCACACGCTCGCGTGCTATCGGGTGCGAGAATTATGAGCCAATGTCGATACAATTCGTTCGCAGAGATAGCAAGCTTCGATATCCTTTTCCCCGGTAATAATGGTAACTCGTATATCGCCCAAAGACGGTCCTGCCTCTGTTAATTATCCGTTGCTAAATTCCTCCTTTCCACATGTGATACGTCAAATTCAATTTCACAGACTCAATGAAAAATCGTCCCTTTTACTCTTATTGTATACAGTTCTGTACAGAATTCTAAATTTAAGAATCAAGCTTGTCACGACGAGTAAGAACGATGCGATGTCTCACGGGGATCTTTCATTTTACAATTTGCGTAAGCGATTCAAGTTTGCAATAACTGTCAAGCGTAGTAGAAACACTTATAATGATTACGATATGGCAGACGATTTCAAATTTTCCCTCGAAGTTTCGGATTTGATACTCAAACGTTTCATTCGTATTACTTTGCCGTGCCATTTAATTTTCCATCGTTCGCAACTATAATATCGTCGTGTTTTGTCACGCCACTCCGATGACAATTACCGCGACTTAGTTTATGGCGTCTGTCTTTCTTCTCCACTGTATTCCCTTGTTCAGCGTATCCAAAATTTGCATCTTCGTTAATCTTGCTGTTCTCGTAAATTCGACCACATTACTCCTCGGTTTCAGCGTTCGGGCCGGCTTAAAACGCGACAAAGATGGATTCTTCGCGCACCACTACTTATTCACGACGCTCTCGGCGTTGTTTCCAATTTAATCTCCTCCCTCGCGGTTCTTACGAATCAGTAATACCTCGACGACTAATTTTCAATTATTCTGCATTTACAGGTAACAACCGTTGTCTTTGATGGACGTTTTTCCGCGCCATTCTCGCAGGGAAGAAGGTCCGAATGTAGCGAACGATTTGGAATCCGCGAAACCTGTCGTACATCGTTTGTGATTTCGTTTCACCGACGTTCGTTCAAAAAGCCCCCTGGCTGACGTACGGGCTCCCCAGCCAAAGTTATAAATAACGTTTCACGTGACGGGTGTGCCTTTGCAGACGCGGGACCATTCATCAGCTACGCCTCGCACGTGAACCCGCCGATAACGACGCCCTGCCGGGAGACTCGATCGTTCAATGAAAGGCGCCCTGTCGAACGAACCGCGAGTCCGGAGTCATAGTGGTCTCCTATAGTCCGAACAAAATCAACTGGACCCTTCTACATCGAGGATCGTGTCCTGCAAAATTAAATCTTGATAGGATTCGCTAATAATATCTCAGTAGTCAGACATCGCTAATATTTTCAGGATACATTTTATTATTCGTACTCGTTTGACTGTTTTCGGAACTTTTGATGTTTCTTTCGAAAAATAATTCACTCAGAAAAGGTTAAATGTGCGGGAAACGTGGAAAGAAATTTTCATGGGTTCTCCGTCGACGGGTCAGCCCGTATGCTTCGAGCAGAGGCGAATTGTTTGGTTGAAACGATTGTTTGGTAGGACAGTGAGGCAACTTTCGCCTGACCTGTTTCCTTTCTCGTCGGTAGCCCGTTTTCGAGACTGTTCGCGAAGTGCAGAGGATCGCAAATTAACATAACGATAAAACCGCGCGCAAAATTCCGCCGAAAAGCGCTAAATCTCGTTGGAAAAACGAGCCGCGATCTTACACGGCGGAATCGTTAGTTTTTGGACGCCCTTTCCGCGGGATTCATAGGCAACCGCTAATTTCTGAGCGCAGCGGTGTATTGGGCAGCCGACAATTACGGTCCGTAAAACACACGGAGTGAAAACCGAGGGGGTGTATAACTTTACACACCGGCGATAAAACCGACGATAGCGGTGTGTCGGCGCGTGTGCACGTGAAATCCGGAGGAAGAAAGGGGGTAGAGGGTAGATTGTAGGCGTCGAGCACCTGGCAGCCAGGTAAACGTTTGTCTCCACGCAGAAGGCGTCGACCTCCTTTTCCCCCTTACCGGGCGAACACG